ACCTTTGGTTTCACAGAGTTAAATCTTAATCTTCCCTCAATCACTCCACAGAGTTAAATCTTAATCTTCCCTCAATCACTCCTTCCATATAGGCTTGGAAATGTTTCCAATTTCAACACCACTTCTTTCATCTTGAAAACGAAAAGATTCTTATCATTATTTCTTCTTTGTTTTTCATTCCCTGTTATGGATTCCGCTTCACCACTTCCCTATTCATTACATTCTTGCACCTCACTGGGTTAATAAATTCTTTTGACACCTACTGCCCCTTCCTTCCCTTGCTATCCCTCCCTCAAGAATGGTGCCCATCAATATTGCATGCCAGGGGTGTGCTTGGAGAGTACAGGTCTGACAGCTCCCCAACCCAGCAGGGAGGCTTCTCCCTTCTGTTCCAACTCAGTGATGAGAAGAACCCCTCCTCTTTCTGCCTCAAGCACCGGCTGCTAACAGCAGACTGAGGGGCAGATGTTTCCAATCTCCAGCTATATAGCAAGGACCACTTGAAATGGATTCCACTTAAGTCTCCTTCCTTAAAAGTTCAATGCCCACTTCTCAAGGTATACTTGTGACCAAAAGGTAAGAGTTGTGCTCACGAAAATGTAGTCACCGTTTTTTGTTTTGGTTGTGTTATTTTGTTGCCATGGTAGGAAAAGTAGAATTAGCAAGCGTAAGGTTATCGCTTAGGACCGATAGTATAATATCAGCTATGCCACAATGAAACCAAAACGTCACTCATGTACTAAGAAAATGAATTTCAGACTGGAATGAAGGAAGAAAAACTGGGTTAAGAGGAAATGAAAACTAAGGGATGAAGCGGATGATAAAGACTTCTCAAGCTGCCAATAACCTTATTATTCCCAAAAGTACATTTCCAAGTACTTGGATAACTTTAGATTCAATAAAAATGTGCTGTTATTCAGTGAGGATGGAGATGATGTTAAAAGACAAAGGAGATAAAAGTTGCTTTTACTTTCTAAATAGGAAGAAAGAAAACCCTTAAGTTGGTGAGATCCTAATGACATTTTAGAATGAGAGGAGGGAGGGATAGCCCAGTTTTATTAAGGAGAAAATATGTCAAACTATAATTGAGTTCTTAGAACTGAGGATAATACTTGTCAGGAGCTAAGGACGCTAAGATTTGACGTTACCTTGGCTGCCACAGTCTGGTGGATGTTGATAGATGACACAGTACTTCTGGGCCAGAGACAAAGGACAGTTTGTTACAGCAATAACACTGTCCAGAGTTTTGTCGTTTTGGTGCCAGTTCACAAAACCCCAGGGCCAGAAGGGAGATGCAGAGAGGGTCAGATGATCTGCACACACTCAGTGGGTGCCTTCCAGGAAGGACCTCTGAGCTTGGAGAACATGGGTTTTTTTATAATGGGAAGTGGTTGTGGTTGCCTTGTACTCCAGAGACCAGCACTATCGTTGCCTTCCAAGGTGATTGCTATGCAATCGCCTTGAAGAGACATGCAGGAACATGAAAGATCCATGGAGAACTGTCTTCCAACAGTATATAAAATATGTATATTATAAATTAAAGATGTATATATATTTACATATAAAAATATCAAACAGCTGTTGTCATTCATTGAGTGTTAAATTAGGGTAGGCCATAGATTTAAGCTAACTTCTAGATTGTGTAGTATATTCATAGATTAACCATAGATGAGGAAAAAAATCCTAAAGGAAAATCCTTCTCAAGTGGCCATCACAATTATACAGGAATTTGATATGTCCCTTATAATATCCACATGAATGAATGGAAAGATGTGAACTGGACAATGTATATTTTAATTGGTTTATATTTGGCTAAACCAGAAAATTCAAATTATTGATGTCAGACTAGAAAGAGGTTTCAAGTAGTATGTTTAAAAAGGTCTTTATCTTTGCCCTATTCTTGTACTACAATGTCAACAGTGATTGGAACGAGAAGATAAGTGGCAGGCAAATCAGCTCTGCAGAGGATAAAGGACTAGAAGAGATCTCCTATACTTGGAGAAAAGACAGTGTTAAGAAATACATACCCTGAAATTTTCTCTGAAACTGTTAAGGTGAAATTAAATAACCAAATGTAAATTTCTGTACATATGTTCAAAAGCCATTGCTGCAACCACAAAACTGTAGAGACTTAGCCTAAGAGCTTTCACGTTATGAATACACAGAGTAGTTAGCTTTAACAAATAACTTAACCTCCTTGGGGCTTCATTGCCTCATTTTATAAAGGAAATGCTTTATATTATCTCCATCTTCCTCTGTAACTCAAGCCTGCAATAACATTTATAAATAATTATTTGATTGAAAACAACCTAAGGCAACAACTTTGTTAGGCATTGATACAACTATGTATTCCAAATCAAGGAAAATAGGAGCCCCGCTATGCTGCCTACTTGAGTATAATATTCACTTCCAGATGCTTTACTTTAGTGAAGACATAGGAACACCAATGGACATCTATATAACGATGAAGGTAGAAATATAGGGAGATATCTGGAAACCATGCTTTTCTAGTTAAAGTTAAAAAACTGAGAATGTTTGGTCTAAAATAAAGAAGACTTTCTAGAGGCATCATAGCAATCTCTAAATATTTGAAAGGCTCTCATGCTGAAGTGGAGAGAAAGCAGGCCAAAGATATGTGGAAAGAAGGATCAGGAAGGCAAATTGTATTTCTCCTAAGAACGTTTTGTAGGTTTGAATCGATAATATATGAGGTGACCCTCAATAGTAGTGGAGTACCATTTTGGATGTGTCTACAGCACCAGCCACAAGCCAGCATATTGTAGAGAGGCTCCTACTTTGTATGGAAGGTGGTGCTTGTTGACCCCAGGGGTCCTGCCTCCTCTGAAACACTCAGCTCATGATCTCTTATCCACACTATTCTGACAGAGTAGTTTTGAGTATTGTGTTGAGAAGGCATTGGCGTTAGTCCCCATGCTAGCACTTGTTAGTTTTAAGACTTTGGGCAGTCTGCCCCATGCTTTGGGACTACTTGCTCACATATCAGCTTTGGGTTAATTTATCCATTTATTTGTTGATTACAATCTTGTTAGGGAAATGACTGAAGAAAGTTAAAAAAAAATGTGGAAATAAAGAATTTGGATCTTTGGGGCACCTGGGTGGCTCAGTCAGCTAAGAGTCGAACTTCAGCTCAGGTCATGATCTCACAGTCTGTGAGCTCGAGCCCCGCGTCGAGCTCTGTGCTGACAGCTCAGAGCCTGGAGTCTGCTTCAGATTCTGTGTCTCCCTCTCTCTGCCCCTCCCCTGCTCTCACTCTGTCTCTTTCTCAAAAATAAATAAACATTAAAAAAAAAAATTAGATCTTTGAGGTTCTTTCCACCCCGATTCTCTGAGTATGAAGTATACAAGTAGAAATATTTCATTTTAAATTCTAGAACTATAGAACACAGTTCTGTATTCTGCCTGGTCATATGTGAAAGAATGAATCTGCTTTACTAGCCTGAATTATCCCTGAAAGTCATCTGGAAGAAATTTAGCTCTAGGGTGTCCTTACTCTGAAGTGATTTTTTTTTTTTTTTGAAGTATTTTTCAAGTTAGGTCCTAAAAATAAATTAAAAGTATTTAAAACCCGCTCTTTCCCTGGTATCTCACCGCTGCGTCGGTGCAGGTAGGG